AGTGCAAACAACTCAAGTTTTGAAGATCAAACCAGGCGACGAATTCAAATGAAATGCAAACTAAGAAAAGGTGAGCTAACCTGAAGAGGATAAAATAGCAAGTATCCTTGACCCAGAGATGCTGAAGAAATTCAGGCCCGGCACGGACAAACTGAAAATTGTTTTAGGGGAAAAGTAAAAGGGTGCCATGAATACACGTTCGCGTAATCATGGACATGTCTGGCTCCACGACGAACACGCCTAGTATACGACTGACGTGGTCAAACACGATCTCGGCGGTCTTGGCAAGCTTTCTTGAACCAAAAATCCTTGCGCCAATAAACGGTGGACAGGGTTTACAGGCAGATAACAAAATGACTCCAAATTTGGCGTAAAATGGGCAGGTTGATGGGTACAGACTTTGAAACTTACGAAGAATTCATTACTACAATACAATTTTCTTCATGAATGTCATATGAGTTTTTATGCACAAATAGTTCATATTCAATTGATTTGACTTCAAAATCCTCCTTTCTTCGTTGAAATCCAAAATAACAATGTCGGCGGTATTCAGTGAAGAAGAAGCTCCAGATGAAACACTCACGCAGATAGCAAAATTAATGGGGAATTCATTATAATCAAAAGTGTCCGAAGCCAATTATTATTATTTAAAAGGTCATTTGCCAACCATTTGCAACGACCTTCGCCTTACCTCTCGACTCATGTTTTTGACGTTCCAGGGCCTTCTTATGTCTCTGATACCGAATATGAAGTCGAGAATCCGAGGAAACCCCAACAATCCCTTTTCGCAGAGGCGGGTTCAGGTTCCGGCACGAGCCAGTTTTTTGGGTCTCTGAGAACGAAAACCCCGTCTTTCAAAAATTTTACGAAGTCCCCTCTGAATCTATGGGAAACCTATGTACTTAGAGGAAGATGAAATCAAAAAGGAGTCACTAGTTCAGAAGCAAAGACGTGAAATAAGAGGAAAAGTCAAAGTGAAGCTGAATACTACACAGCACAAGAGTTTGGCATTGAAGCGCGGTATATAACAAAGGGAGTTATGATAATTAACGCAAAAAAAAACAAAGGAGATGCAACGATATGAAAATGTCTTCATGCTCAGGGACAAATTCTTAACCGTGGAATCCTTTCATAACAAAAAATTCAAGACTAAGGTGAACTTATAAAAATCTATGCTCCATAGATTTCAGATCGTATGGTGGCCTTCTGGAAACGGACTGATTTTGGGAAATATTACTTCACCATATAACTTTTCATAATTTTTTTTACATAATTCTTCCGCAAATAATATTCTATGCCTACAGCCCAAATTTGTTGTCATATGCTCGTCTCCAAGCTGTAAACAAGCAATTTTTTATTTTCGCTTTGCTTTCAAATCACGCGCGCATTTCGCAAGACAGGTTATTACACGATGGAGCACGGTCTATCGTGTAGTGACCCCGCGAAAACGAAATCCCCATTGCTTTTGTCCCAAAAACGAAGTCCAGCCTGCTTCCATACGATCTGTGCCGGGCCCTGGGCAGATTTTCCGAACGTGATTGGATGGGCGGGCATTACTGGAGGAGGCGGTGCCGCCTAGGAGTCCGGAGCGGATTGCTCGTTTCTGAAGCGGGGTTCGGCTTGACGGGGTCTTACTACTTGTGCTGCCAAAAACTCAAGACCCCTGATTTAATGCAGACGTGCCATTAAGCTGGCCCGGAGTAATCTGCAGGCTTAGAACGCATTAAAGGCAGCGTCCAGGCAGATCTGGACCTATGGGGCTTTTACATGGAAAGCACTTTTGGGGCCCTAACTAAGGCATTGCCCAAGCGGCAGCTCAGGTAGTGCTCTAATGGCTGAGATATTCCCCTCGAAACTGGCCCCCGCGAACGTATTCGCATGGATTCATGGCAGTTTCGCGCCAGGATCCACGCTTTGCGCCATGAATCCATGCGAAACACGGTCGCGGGGTCCAGTTTCGAAGGGAATATCTCAGCAATTACAGCATTACCTAAGCTGCCGCTTGGGCAGTGCCTTAGTTAGGGCCCCAAAAGTACTTTCCACGTAAAAGCCCTACAGGTTCAGATCTGCCTGGACGCTGCCTTTAAGTTATAGCAATCGACGACTAACCCACTCTGATTGAAGCAGAATTAATACCGCTTGCTCATGTCTACTGCACCGCTGTTCTCAAAACTTCTATTCACTAGGAGCGACCAATCTCGCATTTTAACAAATTGAAAAATCACGTTAGAATTCTATGACCTATTACTTTCTTTGAAGATTTTAATATCTACTAACACCTGCCAAAAAATTTTACATGTTTTTCTGTTAAAAAAAAAGAACTGCAGATATTTTCTCACAATCAGTACCTCTTCTATTTCGAACACCATATAGAGAGTCCTGAGCAACGAAAGAAAGGCAGAAATGGTACTAAAAATTCTGTAACCAACACACATTAGTGTCCTTCATACATACGCTGGAAAAAGCATTTAGAAATTAGAAGGAGTTTGAGATGTGAAGTAGGGGCAGAAATGCTATCAAAAATACTACTGGGAGAAGATCAATCAAGAGTCTAATCACAAAAATGCTTTCATGATGATTTAGAAAATTTGGGGCAAGGGTCGTTCTAACAGTAAACAGCAACGCTCAATCGGTCAGAAAGATTCTAAAAACAAGCGAAAAGATAGCTAGATAACAGTGGTTTTAACGATGGAAACGCAGAGAATTACAGGTGGCCAAAGCAAAGTGACAGCAGCAATAATTAAAATTCGGTCAACAATGTATTGTAGATGAATATGAATGATTATAATAAATTTTGCTAAATGTTGCGTACAGGCAGGCAGACTAGACAAAGCACACCAAAATTTGATACGAAAATAAGCAAGGAAAGAGAACGTGCAAGGCTCGTATAAATACCCTATGTGGTGAGCTCCTGTCATTGTTCTTGCTTATGAAATTGCTTTCCGTAGGATCCACCGAGGTATTTCGACAATCTTCCCACACCCCCTCTCCCCTCCTCCCCCAAAATTTGTTGCGAAATTCGAAGAGTTACCTACTACATGTGTTATAAATTTGTGCTAGCGACTTGTTTTAGCCTGTGAATAATTGACTGGAAGAGGTAAGTGTTTCAAAATTTTTTTTGCCGATTGCGCGACTGACGCCACGCCCTTCATTTGAGAAAAATTTCTGTGCCTCCCCCCCTCAGCTTTCTTCAAAATAAAGACGAAGCTAATGCTACTCATTTAGGTTCTCCCGTCATCTACGGTTATTGAAAAACCCTACGAATGTACAATCGGTCCCACAATCTTTCCCCCGTGGAAAGGGCACAGAATTTTTTTTGAATGGCGGGGCGCATCTATTGCCACGCCCTGGAGGAATTTTCGAAACGTCCATCCTCAAATTTTCCTCATGAAGCTTTTTGGGTTTTTGTGAAATTTAAGAAACTAATTTCAATTTCTCATGAATAAAAGCAAGGCACACTTCTAATTTATAAGTTAGACCTAATGATGCTTCGAGGAAGTCATGGGTTTTTGGATAATATAATAGTAGACTGGTTGCGAAGGTGGTGCTGATTGTGTAACCTTCACAAACAAGTGATTATGGCAGGTCGATGGGATGGTATTTTCGAACGGAATAAGAACTTCGGTTTGTTGAGAAAAAACTCATTTACGCATGTATCAAACTACGCTTAGAAAAAATGCGGCTGGACAAACGAAAGTAATTTGCCACAAAATGTGGCCTGTCCCTCTTCGAAAAGCTAATTCCACTCAACCAAAAAAGCCCGTGAGCGCGGGATGCTTATCACCGTTGGACCTAAAGTACAAATTGAACGGGTTTATTGCTTTCACACATTCAAAAGCAGGGACAGAGCATTGTATTGAGACAACAGCTGTGATTCAATGGGTGACTTATTGGAATTTTCATAACCCTATGTACCCTTTGATTCAACTGGCTTGGCCCCTGAAAGGCGGGGCTTAATGCCCTAATTTAGGCCAGATAATGATCAGAGAGCACGCGCTCGAAGGAGACGCAGACTACGTCGCGGGAGCGAGTGGCCTTAATCAGGTCACAAAGCCCCGCCTTCCAGGAGCCAAGCCAGTTGAATCTAAGGTTACGCCTTTAGCGAGACCAAAGTGTTTGGGGAAAATAAGGAACGGAAGAAGATTTGTGCCACACTGATCCTTTAGAGCCATTGATGGCACTCAATCTGTGGCTTCATTCACTTCCATTGGAAGTTTAGAAAAAGCCATGCATATAATAGAAATCATCCAGTTGGAAGGTAGGTCGAGGTCTTCCACTCTTATCCTATTTAAATCTAGCTGAAACACAGCGACATACAACCCCCATTGTTTTCGAGCTTTTACTGAACAAGCTGTCACATATAAAAAGTCAAAGACTCTTGCCCTGCATACACTTCATCAATTGATAAAGGCTTAACGCTTAAGACTTCTGACTCAGCCAACTTGCCTCAGTCAATGAGAACTTGATTCAAAGTCAGTCATGTTCCAACGTTTAAGGTGGACTTGACTGCAAAATCTCGTATAATCTCGTCTTGTTTATACAATATGAAGATTTTCGAGTTTTGCAAAAATGCCAGTCCAAGCCTTTGGAAGAGCGTTCTCGCAATCCAGCCATCACTTCCAAAACTTCACCGGGTGGCAAATTCGCGTAAGTCAGTGCCTAGCATTCATGCTGCATTGTTAACAAAGATTTTGCAGTATGAAAAAGTGAGCGAGAAATGAGAAAAGTGAGAAATGAATGTTCTTATTTAACACTCTAAAAACTACGAAGCCAATAATAATAATAACAATAATAATAATATACTAATGGATGTGGATTTGGAGAAGCAAACAGAGGTAGCTTGCAGCTTTCTTCTAATGATGAAGAACAGTGACTCTTTCGGAGAAGAAGGAAAAAAGCGCGAGCACTAAAGAGAGGCGTAGCGAAGACATAAGAAAAGTTGTTCACCATTAGATACAAATCGCAACCTTTTCTTGTTTTCTACCGTATATGGGAACTCTGAGGCAGTGCTATTACGATGCGAACGAAAACAAACGACGACCAGAGATACAAGCCAACGATAACGGCGAGCTCAACTTGGCAACAACTTCGAATGTAAAGAAAACGGCTAGAAGTAACACAAACAGAGATTTTGAGCTACGATACACATTTATTCTCTTCGCCTTGGATAATGACGAATCCATAAATGATCAAGAATAAAACGAATACGACCGGATACATCACCTAAAAAGACGGAGGTTTTCGCGGAATAAGAATAAATACACTCCGTTTAAAACCTTCAACAACGCTACTATTATTGGAAAATCTCATTTTGTCGGGGGGCTATTGATGTTTCGCACTTCTGCTGTACAGTAGCCATTCAACGTCATTGATGTTTCATCGGAGCCGATATTGTCCGAATCGAGCTTTTTGACTTATCGTCTAGCCACTGGTAACTTGACATGTGTATTGCACACCATGCGAGTTACTGGACGTCTTGTAAAGTTAGAGCTTGCTCATTCCCAGTAAAATCTCCTTATTCTCTTGTCTCTTTTGCCTCGATTAGGTATGTATTGATTAATAGTACACAACTACAATTTGTTCCGCTAGTTGTTTAGGGGATCGGCCATACTATTCCTGCTATTCCTACGACTCCTGCGAATCCTGCGATTCCTGTGAGTCCCGCACAATTTAGACGCCGCTTAAATGAGCGCGTGTTGCGTAAAACAACACATAACACGCAACACGCGCTCATTTGAGCGGCGTCTAAACTGTGCGGGACTCACAGGAATCGCAGGAGTCGCAGGAGTCGTAGGAATAGCAGGAATAGTATGGCCGATCCCTAGGAGTTACCAGGAGGTTGTCGTCAATTGCGCGCATAGTGTGCAAACTCACATATCAAATCACAAATGACTCGACGTTACCTTGCAGAATGCATCACATTCTCTTGCCAGATGATGATAACGACGGCTCCGTTGCATCATATACATGATCTTATAATTGCTGAATTCGTCCAAATTGTCCTCACATCTTCTTCTCTATAATCTTTATATCTGCGCGATATCTGTGGGGCAACTTCTTACCAGTGATTTGCTGTAGTGTTCCAAGTAAATAACTAGCAAAGCTTGCAGCATCGTTAAAAAGACGAAAGTGGAAGTGAAGCCAAACCATATGTCAATCGCCTGAAAGATTATGTCTACGTGATGTCGCACAAAATGGTATCATCATCAACAAAATGTATTATCATAACAAATAAAATTTGCAAATGATATTTATCTCCGCCACAAAGGCAGGAATAGGCCTTGAGCACAGGGCTTGAAGTTTATCTGGAGAAGTCAATGCGCGGCTCTACATTATTGTTTTGAATCCAAACCGCACAATAGCCACAAATTTGGCTCATACGAGTGTGCGTGCGCACTCTCCCCGTTCTTCACTCTCTTTCGCTCTGTCTAACCGCATGCCAGGTTGACTAATGCGTCCGGGAAAAATGATGTTTTTGATGCTTTTTTTAACACAACCAATAGAATGAAACAATCTAATGTCTAAATGTCAGCCGAAAACGGGGGAGTTATAACCTGTTTTTTAGACCAGCGCTTTCCGCACACTTCTCTATTCCAAGTTCGTTCCAGAGCTTGTGCTATAAGCAAAGGCGATCCCAGGATTTCCATCCGGCGGGGAGGTACAAAATTCTTTTGAGTAGTGCACGAACACTCCAAAACCCTTGCGATGTTGCGGGATCGCGGTCTATTCCTAAGTTGAAAATCGACCTCCTTCGTTTCAATTCTCAGCAATTTTTGAAGAAACTCTCGTTCACGTGGCGAGATCAAATCCTCCAAAATGCGGTTGGTTGCACTTTCGTTCCGAACGCGAACACTCGCGCTCACATGATGATCGGTCATCTGATCCAATGAGTTCGATGACAATGCTATCATCTAAATAGGTGTGGGTGGGTGTCGTAGCAGAGATGCTAGCTCAAAGGTGAGCAGGTGACACACTTGATATTAGTGAAAACCATGGAGAGGTGAGGGAGGTGGAGAACAATTGCAGCTTATGATGACAGAACATATCCACGCAATAAAAGAGCGGCGAGAATGAATTATGAGAACTATCTCATTCATGGCAGAAAATGTGCCCAACTTAGGATTAGTTTCACTTCTGAATGTTCTTTTTTCGCTTATATACCGTAGTGTAGTGCGGGATTACAGTGCAGATGCATACCGTCCTTTCGATTGTATAATATAATACTATCGCACGTCTATGTTGCTTTGCACGCAGTTTCAGCACAGTTCAGCAAAGACCGATATTTGCAAAGGTGCCGAACCAGGTCCCAAGAGAAGCTTCCGGAGTTATTCACGCACGGTCGGCTCATCCATTCATGTCTTAGAGTTTTCAGGAGTGCCAATCCTTCTATATAAAGCTGAATGTCTGTTTGTCTGTCTGTCTGTATGTATGCCTGTCTGTGTGTACGTATGTTCCGAATAGAAAATTCCATTTCTGAACCGATCCGGACCAAACTTGGCACACATACACTTCGGGCCCCGGCGGGTGTCATGGGCTACTTTTCGTCATCGATCGATATCGATTTTATCGATTTTTTGCAAAATTTGAGCTACGGGGCTGGGAGTTGGCACAGGGGGTGATCGAACATGCTGATTATGAATATAATGATGACAGGGCCGGGCGGAGCCGGGTAAGTCAACTAGTTCCTTCATATTCCGTGTTACAGGCTTTGGTCTGTGATACCATTGGAGACTTTTTCCTTTTTGCAACCGTCAGATCGTTCATTCTAATCACATGTTACTCTGGAGATACCGAAAGGTTAGGCCACCCTTCGTTAGGAAGGAACATGGAATTTAATTTTTGCTGGCTCTCCCTTTTAGCTCCCCTTAGACTTGTCTTTATCTTTGTATACATTTGTATGTGGAAACGTCTTTCCTTTGTGTGCTGTTTATATCGAGAGATATTGTCTACTCTCCATGAGGTGAAGGAAGCGGGGGGGGGTAAGAGGGAGGAGGACTGAAGAGCTTTAGGAGAGCATCATTCAAAAGAATCGAAAACTTCAAAGAGTCAACTTGTAGCTTCAGTGCGAAGCGCCAGCACTGATTTTATTAATAGGTGGATTAATCTTATTCCACAAAACTCCAAAGATGAGCGAGTGACTGAAAGAAAATGGTAGGCTTGAATACTTTTACGAACCTTTATGTACGAGACTTTGGGAAGCTCTTCCTTTGCTGAATTGCTCTCAGCGCTAAGGGTGAGAAATACCGTGAGTGAAACGAATATCCTTCCTAAAGAGGGAATATAAAATGTGTCAGAATAAAAATATTTTACCTTCGACAAACTCTTCTGGCAACCACGGACTAATCCATGAGAACACAACGCAAATCATTGTGGGTATGTAGGTCTGTGCAATATGGTAACCGAGTTCTCGCTGCATCAAGAAATGAGCTTCCAGGCAGGAATAGTTGCCTGAAGTTTAGGCGTCTTATGTTAAGAATAAAAACAATGTTCCTTTAATCATATAGAGCACCTGATTTTCGCATCCCATCGCATTTATTAGCTTCGACTGCAGTGAGAGTAAGCTCGGGAATTTCAAGGTCGCGATGCATTTGGATTGCATCATTCTTGTCAGAAAACCATTCGAACTCAACGGAGTCCGATGTGAAGCCTACTGTAAACAAAAAATTTTGCATAATACGAAAGAAAATGTTTAAAAACTACAAGTAATCCATACGTGAACTAATCCGTAGGGAGCATACTGGTCTATCGTGGGGATATTTGCAGAGCACAATTTTTGCAGCTGTTGGTTTCAAGTAGACTCTAATGTCCATAAAAACTTCGCCACCAGGAAAGATATACATGTAGAAATTGAGATAGGTGACCTGAAAAATGAACGGGAAACTGTTGTATGCGATGCGGATGAAACGGAGGAGGAGGGCGGGAAGGGGAGGGGGGGGGGGGGGAGGGGTAGTGAAATGGATGCGAGAACTAATTTCTTAAAATACGGGATGCTATCCAAATTTCTCATCTCTTATGACTGAAAATTGCAAAAAGGAGGCGCTTTGAAAAAAAAATTTTTTAAAAATATAACTATTAGGTTGTAAACAAAGTTCTGAGGCACTTTTGGAAATCATTTTCTGACGTATTTTTCTGGCGCTTGGTCGGACTTACTAGTTTTTTATACCGTTCATTAAAGGGAAGCCTAAACTTTTCAAAACCGCTTCTTCTGACTTTTATCGATGCCAAAACGTGTTTGATCTGCACATCAAAAAAGGAAACCTTTCCGACCATAAAAATTTCACAATTTTTCTTTCTGTGGCCATTTTTTTGTGCAGTTCAAAGACTTTGGTAAAAATCATGGGTAATTTGATTGAGGAGCCTGTTAACTTCTAACTCGCACCTGCACTCGAATTTTGCGATCTGCGTCCGATTACAAGCTGGCGAACTTGCATCTGACTGCATCTCTTTTCGCAGCTGGCATCGCTTCTGCGGGGATCGCCACGCCTGCACCCATGGGTGATGGTTCCAAAAGAAGTGTGAGGCATTACCCCAACAATATTCGCAGTAATCAAAAATTTGGTCCACCCTGTCCAGAACGAGGAGACTTCAAAGCAACTTTCTAAAAAAATGGTGTATTTTAGGGGCAAAAAATGGTCGATTTTTCAAATTTTCTGAAAAAACTTTTTTTGCAGCTGATCGCTCAAAAACTTAAATAGTTTTCGTGAGAGCCCCAGCAGACTTCTACGCAGCTGCAGCATCTGAACTCCCAGCTCTCATCATGCCTGAGATGATCGTGCACAAATAGGCCACTTTTCACGGCGACCTTTTTGCCTTCTGCGCATGCTGGTGGACCGCAGTGAGGTGCTGAAAAGCCAGCAAGATAAGTATATGTTGTAGACAAAATTGTCTTTGCAATGGAGTTTGTAGCTTTACGGAAGATTCAATCTGCTTGAAGTTATAGTGATTCAAAGTAATTTTTCGCAAGTGCCCTGGAACTTTCTTTACGACCTGATTTCGAAGATTTGCACGCATAAAGAAATTACTTGCACAATTTTATAATTTGCTTCCAAAAAGTTCGCGAACCATTTTGCGAGGGTTTCTATATTAATAACCAATCTCAGAGAGCTTTCAGGTGAACTATCCAATCAATTTTCCGCGAGTACTTTGAATGTTATTGAACTTCAAAGTGCTTGTTAGACCATTTTTTCAAATGAAAATATGGCACAATAACCTCAATGTTAGAAAATTTCTGGGCATTTCATTGTAGTTGTGTACTCTGCTATTGAAAGTTTTGTGAATGACTTTCTCATGATATAGTACACACTTTCAAATTGCTTCTGATCATGGGAAATCACTCATTGGACGGGGTTTTATGCTGAATTAGCTATTACTCGTATAACTTCGTATATTTGTGTTAGAGAATAAAAGTAAATCAAACCAGCTGGCTCTATCTAATATGAATGCTGAGTTTGTGGTTACCTTGTGAAAGCGTGCTTGCTTTGCGTTTCTGAAGATCGGATCTGGTCGCCAGATCTTCTTGAGGAACTTGAACTCATTGACAAGGACCGGACGACTCAGTCCGTGTCTCAGCCTTGGATCGTACCATGCCATGCGAAGCCATGTGTCAACTGCGTAGTCCTAGCACAATAGCGTTTCGAAATAGCCGGAAGGCGAAAAGTTCAATTCTATATTTAGCACTTTACTGACCATTGTTGATAGCTCGAAGTTACTCATCGCCTGTATGTGTAGTCCAATTTTTACGGTGACTTTCTCCCCTACGAACAGAACCGGTGGTGTCCTGAATAATTTCCACACATAGGAGTAAGAGAGGTAAGAACTTCTTCACGGGAGGTTGGTGGATCAGTGAAGAATGTAAAGCACCAATTTCATAATGGGTGCTTGAATGGGCACATCCTCCTACTAAAGTTTTCTGTCCCTCTTTTCCTACCCTCCTCCTTCATAATCTTCAGGACTGAAATGACTGACATCAGATCTCTAACACAAGCCCTGAAGCCTTCAAAATTAAACATTATCTTCTAGTCACTTGCACCTAATGCACAACTGGAGTGGGTTCCTTCCCAAAATCGGGATTTTTGGTGCTTATACAAGTCCCACCAAAAAGAAAAGGAGTAGAGGATACAACCGTGCTTAGTAAATTTTGACTTGACTTTATTTCAAGTAATGGAAAGGTCTGTAAACAGCTCAAATTGCACACCTTTAATAAGTTACTAAAAATCGTCGCTTGACAAAAAAAATGTACATAGGCCCGTGTCTGGCCCTATCATTTCGCCTCTGACTTACCTTGAATCGTATTTCACATGCTTCAAAAAAGGAATCAGATGAGTGGAAGGAAAGGGCCGTCGTGAAGTGATATCATTACCGTCGAAACGTCTAAACTACTTACCATTTGCACAGTTGAAATGTTGATTACACTTACTTGAGAATTAAATCCAAGTGTTTCGGGTTTTTGTACGGCTCCATTAATTGTTCGATGGTCGCGTCTAGTGGGGCTATATCAAACGCTAGTGTCCCATATTTTTCTAAAAAAAATTGTGCCTTTCCAAAATGATTGAGTTCTTAAATTGGAACATTTTAGTAACCTGCATAATACTGCAGTTGCTCCGAACTGTCGGCTGAGCTGGAAGGCTTGCAGATCTTGTCCGGAAAAATCATAACAGACTCATGGATTTCAAATAGTCTTGGGTTCAGGTGGATTCCAATCTCGGCACTTGTTTGAGAGTCGTTTATTCGTATGAAATTCTAAATACGAAGACGGTTCATGGAATGCATATTACGATCAATACTGCTAATATTTCGCCAAAGTACAAATGTACTTTGAAATCTACTCGAAGTTGGGAAATCGGATTTAAGAGTCGATGAAACAAAACAAATACTCATTTAATTACATGATTGTTTATTTATATAAAATGTATATTAGACTTTGACTGGTAATGTTCATTTATCGATCTAATATATTCTTTATTTATTTTCAATAGTAAGAATATGGTGATACCAAAAAAGTTTATGATCATATGGAATCATCTGATTCTTTTCATACTTCCAGTCTGAATAAGCTGTGAGTTTTGAAATTTGAGCAAAATGCATAGGCTGAGCGTGACAACCAGAAAATTCTCATTGGGTTCTATCATTTTATGAGCAATCAATAACTTCACGGTCTCTGAGTAAGAGCAAATAATTGGCGTCTTTACTTCATCCTATTACTTTCTCCTATAACCAGAAAGGGAAATGTGGAACATTAATAGAGCAACGCACTAACAAAGTCAGATGCACTTGTTATAGGATTTTCTATTATTCAAGAAAGTCAATACTTCGATTCGTATTTAAGTACAAACATTTGCATTCATTTTGTAAGGTGCGGCACTACATATTTTACTACATTCTTGCACTAGGATTAGACTTTGTCTCAAGAATTTGTCCCAAAAAGCAGAGCAACTGGCCAAGCCAATAGCAGATATAAGCTCAAAAATTGGGTCAGCTTCTTCAAAAATTGGGTTAGCGACTATAGATCGCTATCGTTTTGCGCGAACAAGCTTACAAATTTATTTTCATACATATTATCATGTTCGGCGACATTAAGCATGCGCTAATGATCTCTTTCTTTGTCGATAATCCTAAACTGATTTTTAGAATTTGGAAGTTTACGGTTTTTTCCAACCGAACTATTAACCTTTGATTCAACTGGCTTGGCATCATCAGGGCGGGGCTTTGTGGCCTAATTGAGGCCGCTCGCGCCCGCGACGCACCTGCGTCTCTCTCGCGCAAGTGCTCTCTGATCATACTTAGCCTTAATTAGGTCACGAAGCCCCGCCTTCCCGAATGCCAAGCCAGTTGAATCAGATGTTACACGTTTCCAGATACCTTACCATTACTATGTAGCTACAAGATAGGTTTCGGACGAATTACAGTACTCTGGAAACTTGAAATCGTGGTTTTATAGAGGGATGGATAAAATGTTTTCCACATAAAATTTAAAAGATCTCACCTTGTCCGGCTCTAACCATTGCTGTTCTTTTTCTGATTCGCTGTTTATGGCAGAATCTTTTCTGAAATTTCTACCGGTATATGAGCACATTTCTTTTGGCGCAAGAGCGAAAAAAGTTCCGCATGTTTTTTGGAAATTTGTGCCATAAATTGGGGGACAATCTTCATCTTCATCTGCATTCTACGAATAAAAACTTACGCTGGAAGCAAAAGCTTGGACGTCCCATTAGGAAAGCACAGAACTTCCTTACTGAGGTGGTATCTCTCGGCTGCTATTGCACTGGCTATTTTTAGCACTCGAGGATGTAAACGGCACACGTTCTCGAAGTCTACGTAAATCTCCTGAAATGCTAGCCAAATGTGAATGAAAAAAACTATGGTCTAGCCGCAAAAGCTTCGCCGAGACAAAGAATTTTATGCATTTACAGACACGCCGCCCACTTTTGCAGCGAAAACATCTGATAGCTCAAAGAGCATTCCGAAAATTCGGAAAGTATATTACTTTCTGCTTCGCTCATAATATGCCTATCGGGACAGTGAGAGCACTGAAATGAGTAAATAAATAAAAATGACCGAAAAAATCATAAAGCAACATTGCAAAAATCTCAGTAATTGTTGCTTCAGTGGTAGGATCAGGGCTCGGCACAAGTGTCTTACAAGGGAACGATCCCAAATTAAGGTGGCGAATTGGAATGAACCGCATATCAACAGATGCGTCTTGATGAGCTGACTCCAAATCTACCTTCCATATCTGCGACAACGTTATCTGGAAGAAGTTATGAAAGGTTAAAAACGTGAACTAACGGGGGTTTCAGTGCATAGTTCGCATCAAAATCCAACTTGGGAGTGTATGACTAGCATGATATTGAGTGTACTGATTTCAAGGAATGCTCACACTCTAAAGAAACACAAATAAGTGTTTTTGAGCAACTAATTTTCGAGGTATTGCGCTGCATATTTGCCAAATTTGGACTCTTCATTGCTCATAGCTTTTACCAAAGAACTTTAGTTGCTTTTTAGCTCTTCAAAGCATTTGTTTGCGTTTCTTTTGAATGTGAGCATTCCGTGAAATCAGTGCACTCAATACGATGCAAGTCGTGCATTTCCAAGTTGAATTTTACAGCAGATTATGCATCAAGACCCCCGTTACTTCACATTTTTGACCTTTCACAACTTCTTCCAGATAACGTTGTCGCAGATATGGAAGGTAGATTTGGAATCAGCTCATAAAGACGCATCTAATGATATGCGGTTCATTTCAATTCGCCACCTTAAGTTGGGATCGTTCCCTTGTTAGAAGCAAGCTGGATATCGTTTTTAAGATGAAAAGTAAAGGGGATACAGTTTTTGTAGTCAAAAAAAAACACAACTTAAGTTACGTTGTTTTAACTGACGTTTCATTTTTTTAGGGTTTTGCGTTCAGGATTTAGGGTCAGGGGGACTTCGCCGCAAAATTTTGCGAAAGTAAAGGAAGACTTCGTTTTGCATTCTCTAAAGCCACCTCGTGCCGAGCCCTGGATAGGACCATTTCGGCTACAATAGGAAAAACCGTTCTCGGATTGTCAATTCAATTGGACCTGATATAATCATATATATAGTATCACAAAGCAATTTTTTTGCGCCCTTCTCAAAAAAATTCAATGATAGCTATAGCGATGAGCATTATGTAATAACCAACAAATAGCCGACCATGTTTCAATACTTCCATGTTATACTGAAGCAAATTGGAGGTTATACGATGGTGACCTTGTCCAGCAATTAAGGAAACTTTGCTTAAAACTCTACATCGCGTTAAAATTTCTGTATTACACAACATAAAATGCATGCTTCACAAAATCACAAGATGAAGTCTTTTATGATATTGAAAAAGCGGACAGAATTTATGTAAAGCGGAATGCTTCTAATCTAGAATACAAGTTCAACTAGCGAAAGTGAGAAAATATTTGAAGTAGAGATTTGTGAACCCAAAATCAACCAACAAACCTACTGTATAATTCTGAAGAAGGTCCAAAGGTAAGTGATACTTCTCAGCGTCTCGCTCGTTTCTTACAGAAACTCTGGAGCGACGATATGCCAAATGGTCAATGTCTTCTTCGGTCAGGTCGACGATAGTGTTCTAAAAATGACTTGGGCGAAAAATAAAGACTTCTGATTATCTAAAAAAAGGAATTTTGCGCACAAACCTGCGTTTTCCACCAGAGCATCCATGCTTTACACTGTGGATGTTCGCTGGTGACCACACCGACATCCTCAGCCTGGTAAGTGGTCGAAATCACCAGAAGCTGAGCTCGACCACAGGCGAACAGCAGCGAGAGGCCGAGGAGCTCTGCCTTCATGAAATCATCAATGGCTGCGACTGTTGGCCGTAATTCTACCAAAAACCCGTTTCCAGTGAGCGTAATTCGAAATGAACGTTGAAACGCGCAATTATCATTTCATCGGTTATTTACGAGAATTTTTCACTCGAAAAACGGTAATCAGGTACTAACTTATGTATGTCACATTCCATCGTGTGCAACCCTGCTTGCACTGTAATTTCAGTATTTTGCTCGCTTATTTTGTGATACAACTGTTTTATCTAACAACTTTTCATTAGAATAAAAAATTCGGAACTGCTAGATCTGGATGATCTTAGAAGAACGTTCCATGAAAAGAAATCTGGAAACATTGCCAACTCAACATAATCTTGAATCTTGCCGTTCCCTTATCTGCACTGCAAAAAAATAGAACTCTTTTTCCTCCTGCTACTTTCCTCCTTTTCTTCCTCTTCCTGACTATGCTACAATTATCAGCTTTATGAGAGGCCAGGCTTGTAATAATGAAAGTCCAAAATTTTCTCCAAGGAGGAGGGTGCAGACACCAGGGGAAGTGACAGAGTTCAATACCGAATAATGGAATATTTGACATGTTCTAGAATTTTTACCTTTTTTATAACTCCGAGTGGCGGTAGCCGCGTCCCAAAGTAAACTTTTTACAGAATCAATGCGATTCAAAAAGAAAATGATTAGGTTGGCACGAAAATTCTATCGCACCATTTTCGAGAATTCATGACTTCTGATTTTTTCGACGGATTTGCCTGTTTTATTTAATATTGTTCGAAAGAGAGAACCGTGCTCTTTGAAATATTATCTTAGAAAATTCCCACCGAACGCATATCGCATAGATGTGAACATTTAAAAAATTACTGAGATTAGAGCATTCAAAAAATTGCGACGATGGCGCGACCGCGCGCAGCACATACGCACTCTCATTTCTTGGTTTCTATCTCTACTTAAATAGTTTTTCTGCTTACATCAGATACTATTCAGACACTGAAAGTGGGCTGAGGTGAGCGTTGAGGTGTTGTCTGTTTGTATGAGTGTTTTATGCTTTTGCTTGCGCAAAGACCGCAGTCAACTCGTCTTCACGATCTCAAAAAATAAACCATATTTCCTGGGTGTAGTCGTAAAAAATCTGGACCTTGCATTAAAAATCGAAGTATATATTTTGTTACATCTTCTTTTTGATCGTTAAAAGTTTGAACCGTCTCTATCAAAAGTTGTGGTTTTTGAGCAAGCAGTAAAAAACAGCACATTTGATTATTTTGGGTTTGTCTCGACAATCATTACATTTCATAGAGAAGTTCAAACAGCACAATCTTTGCTCAGTTAGTAAGGGTATTTGATAAAGTCCACGACCAAACACAGAAAATCAAGATTTCAGTAATTTTCTTCTACCGTCTATACCTATGCAATATGTGCTTACTGGAAAGCTTCTAAAGATAAGATACTTAATGTAAAGAGCATGGTTTAGCCTTTCAAACAAAATAAACGTGCAATTGTGCTGAAAAAAACTGCAACAGAACTTTCGCGCCAACCCAGTATTAAATCAATTATTTAAAGGTAAACCAAGTCATTTGCGCGATGCTATGATTCAGATAGTCTACCCTTTCTACTCAAATCTTTTTGTCAGCTCCCTCGAATAATTTGTTGTGTTGTGGTTCAGAGAGAGCATCCAAATGCATACTCTAACTGTCTCTTGTATAGAGATATAACAAAGCATTTTGACTCTTTCTCAACTTTTTTTTCGGAGAGCGATGGGACTCCAAGTAATCGGAAAGCGAGTGGGCCCCAAACTATTCGATAATGTTGTTTCACAAATCACACATTCGCTCACCCTCATGGGCGCAAATGAGCTCCATCTGGCAAATGCTGATTCAGAATTCAACAATGCAGATTGGCGCATAACACATGTAGCATAATACGCCGGAATGCATTCAGGAAAAAGCCTAAAATTTGCTATGTTCCATGTTCACTTGTCCAGTACAGAATCCCTAGTATCTCTAGGAATCAAGGGTACAAATGTGGATGCTATTTGGGAACTGGAACTGAGAGGAGCTAACTCTTAAGATTTGCTAAGAGGCTAATGCGCAGCTAAATGAATAACACTACTCGCAAACAACTGTCAAGTTTGTGCCAGAACCGCTTTCTGGTGTCAAACTTGCCCACCAGGGTATTTTCCCGCGCAAATTACATATCAAAGACCACGCCCTATCAAAATTATTCAGGGGTGTTTCCCAGATATCTAATGAGCCTATGGCACTTTACTCGATTTCAGTCATGACGCGATTTGGCAATACTCCAGTTGTTCGCTCATACTTCATCGTAAGCTCATTCTGAATTTACAGACGACAAGACACTTCATCATAGGTACTAAGCACTTGCAGTCTGGAAAATTGCTTTAGAAAACACCTGCAAAATTCTCAGATCGCGTTGCGAGTAAAATTCAAATGGCGTGAAGTATGTCCTTAATCTAGACTTTTTGATTTGTAAAATAATTAGAATTATTTTTGAAAAAAGGACATTAGCTTTGTAATTCTTCCCGGGCGTGGCTGTTGCGCCCTTCTTCTGAAATTTCCGGACTATGGTCTAGCAAAACTTGGGAAGCATCCCAGAAAAAATTTATAGCGCGTGAATTTCCCCCCTCCGAAAAAAATTTCCTTGCCGCCTATATTACTAGCCTATACACGTTCTGCTTTTCTTCTCTGAGGGTGTACCCAGACAGGATAGTCACAACAGTTTCCGTGTTATCCTGCCTTGGACACCTCAAAGAAAATTCTGGCAAAGTCAGCACGGATGGACTACCGGCAAAAAAAAACAGCGAAACTTGGCCGCTGAAATTGAGTCGGAGAATAGCCATTGGACTCTAACACCTCGACACCTCCTATAGAGCTTTTGTGCTCGTTGATCGAAGTTATTTGCAGATGCTCGTTCCCGCGGGCGCGTCCGCGCGCCGCTCGTTGCCGCGTCGTCACGACGCGCGTGCCCCTCCAGAGTGACCTTGGGCGTGTGTCCGTCATGCGCCTCTGCACAATGCCGCGTCTTTCCGCCACCGCATGCGAGATGCGAATCGCCCTCGACGGGCATTCCTTAACATAATGGTCGCGTCTCGTCATAATCCGCGCCCCTGTTCTGCTCTCTGCCTCACCGAAACCGACGAATTAGGACGTTTCACCTATCTTGTATATCTGTCAGCTTTCGCTGGCGCCGAGATCAATTTTCCCGATTCATGTAACTTCACTTAAACCCGAATATGGGACTATACACTTTGGATGTGTATAGGAAGCATGTGGAGGGGAAGTGGTTCACGTTGTTCTTATTCTCTTTTTATTCATATCGTGTATCCCAACTAGGCTCATGGCCCGCATACTTTCGCCTGCATATCTACAATTTTTGGCCCTTAGACAAGTAAACATGCATTTTTCTTTGTCAACATTTACGATTTTCAAGCTACCGTGCATCGTCAGTTTCACTGATAGCTGCTGCCTAATTTTGGTGATTTGTTTCCAAATTTTATCATTTTAAAATTATACTTGCTTTCCTCCCATCTTATTTAATGTCCACTTTTATAATGTTCTATTTGCAAAGCCGTAATCTCCAAATTTGATAAAATTTGATATGATATAAGTGAGAAAAGAAATTGTTCGCTTTTTAGTAGTGCCAGGAAACAAAGTTTATCGTTGAATAAATGATAATAATTAATATTGTATAATATTGTTTTTGCTGAATGAACTGTAAACTAATAACTAACTCTCTTAGTAGAAGTTGATAAAGGCAAGCAATGCGTTTTTTTTTTTCAAAATTTGGTCGCCAAAAATGTTTAATTTCTCTTTTTGGTTTTACGTTTTGGTTTAGATTTTGATCATTTATAAGAAATTTGTACGGATGTTTTTGAAAGAATTTTTCCGATTTTTTACTTCTTGAGAATTGATTTTGTTCAAGCTGAAGTTTTCAATACATGAAAGATCATATATACTATTTACACCGAGAAAATGTTATACTATTGGAACGGTTACCCAACTAAATTGGTTTCTTGGACTTTAAGACTCGTGTAACTTAATATTTTTCAAGTGGCATACCGTACAGAGACATTCAAGTAATTAAATGAGCATGAAACAGTGTTCCGGTTTTCTCTTTTTACTTTTGTGTACATCTTCCCTTCAACCAACATTTGTTTGCGCAAGAGTGCAAAAGCAATAAATCGCATGTAAACCTGTTCGCAAACATTCTCAGTGTGTTATCATGATAGATATCAATGTTGTTTATCATTAGCAACTTCTTTCCAACTGTCCTTATAGGAGACTTTTTCTGTTGCTAATGTGAAATGCTCTTTGGCGCTTGATTTTTTTTTGAAGAGATACTGAATGTTTGGATCTGGTAATCCATGAAGAGGAATTATTTTCAATGGTTTAAAAAATTATTTCTCTAAAAACCCCCCAGTTCGCAGCAATTCGCTTTCCGCTGCGAAACTTCTTCAGAATTTTTTTTTTCCGTCGAGTAGTTTTGAAGAAGAGCAAACAATCGATATGATCACTTACAGATTTATTCTACACCTCGAATTACGCCACAAAACCGATTCTCTTCCAGAGCTCTTTAGTAATTTGGCGAAAGTCCTGAAAACATCTTTGTTCTAAGAGGTTGGCCCGAAAGTTCGCGCCATTGTAAAAAATTCATAAGACAAATTTGGCTCTGACTAAAAGACGAAATCATGCGCTTTACAAAAGCATTTCGGGACTTTCTAGCATGCAAACACTGTGGAATCAAAAGCTGTGAAAAACTAGTTAAATATTGATTTTTCTCTGTAGTTGCCAAAAATCTGGAACTTGCACTAAAAATTGGAGCAGTTTTTTATTAAGTTTCATGACCTGTTTTCTTTATCTGAGTTATCTATGTTTCTATCAGAATTCAAAATTTTCAAGAAAACGGTAAGAAGAAAATCAAATTTGTCATTTTGTACTACTTGCTCGAAAATCGTAACTTTACATATGTTCAATCTTCAGTGCGAGTTTCAGATTTTTGGCAACCCT